TTAACTGCATACGATATTGTTCGTGCATTATTATGATGGTTCTTATAATAAAGACGGCTATCTTAATTTGAATTTTGTTGATAACATGTACATGTATATAAATTAACTTAACACAATTTTCAATTTCTGCTTTTTCTTTATGAGAATACACTTGTATACGTGAACATATTTTTTCAACTTTACAAAAAAAAAAGAACATCAGGATATGCAAAAAACATTCAAAAGAGCTACGATGTCTTTTTTGTTAATAATTAGCATTGAAAATTTCCCTTCTTGCAAGTCGCGTGAAATCATTAAGGTTTCGTCAAAGGTCAACATGTTCAAAAATTTATTTTTACAATAGCCCCAAAACTATATGAGATATAAAGTTAAAACTTTTACAGTTGATCAATTTTTCATTGATTAACAGATAGAAAGTATCACTTGATAAAAAAAAATACTTGGAAAAAATATCAATTGAGAAAAAATTTTCTTAAAAATGCATATATTTTCAAAATTACACCTAATTAATTCCGTGCTCTTAGTGAAAACCATCATTGCAGAAACAAAATATGTTTATCAATGAAGGGCAAGTTGGACTTCGATAGTCTCTGGAAAGTTGTTTTCCCTGTTTATTTTGTCCAAATGTTAAGACTTGAAAGTGAACGTATATTGCAAATGGCGGATTCTATAGGAGTCTTGACTTTATACATGTCATGCTTTCAATAACAGCCTTTCAGAGACCATTCACGTCTAACTTGCCCTTCAATGATAAACATATATTATTTCTGCAATGATGGTTTCACAAGAAGGACAGATTAAAGCAAGTGCATTTTTTTTTAAATATACACATTTTCTAATACAGTTTTTCTCAAAAAAAATCTTTTATTGAATCATTGAATCATGGTTAGTAACCCGACCTCCCCTTTTTCTTGGATCACACGTGATGCACATTCTTTAATTGCGTCTGCCATCATGTTTACTAAATGCAAATATATCTAAAGGCCCTGTCACACCAAGCTGCGTTCACACGGAGTCATTACGGCGTTGTCAAATTTTTAAAATCTCCGTGGAATCGCAGGAAAATTGCACAAATTTCTGTAAAATTTTCATAATATGAAGATGTCACGGCGACGGACGCGATTCTACTGCGTTCCCACGGAGATCTCTCGGCGATTGACTGCGCTTCCGCGGAGTTTTCATGGCGCGTTAGGAGTTTTCACCTGGAGTTCACGGCGTTCTCACTGCGCTGACTGCGTTCACAATGCGTTCTATACTCATTGATATTATATTTAGAAGGAATGTAAAAAATTTTTGTTTAAAGATTCAAGTTACACGATGAAAAGACTTCTAATCATGCCAAGAAATATTCTTAATAATCAAAAATGTTCTATTTAAATAATTTAGTACTAAATTATTAATAGTTTTATGATTAAACTCCTTTTTTCAATTTTATCGGTTCAGATATGTCGTTAGATTTTCTTTGATTTTATTATGAATGTAAAAAAAAAATAAACACGCTGAAAAGTTTTCTACAAAATTTAAGTGAAACAGCAGAACAAGTTCTGGTGTAATTTTCTCTTCCATTTTTTTTTTTCACTTAAATGCTCCTAGTGCAACAAATACGTTGGAATTATTGCTGATCAAATATGATCCCATTGCTCTTGTTTTGTGAGCTGGCTGACAACGCTCTAACAACGCCCTAACAACGCCGTGAAAGCGCATTGTGATCGCAAACGGACGCTGTAGAAACGCCATGGGAGCGCAATGATGGCAGTGACAACTCCGTGCTGTCGCCGTGTAATCGCAGTCGAAAAAATCACAAGACGATAAATCTCATTAGAAGCGCCGTAAAAACGAGATAGAAACGCAGTGACATCTCCAAGGACTCCGCGACATCTCCGTGGAAGCGCAGTCTACTATCACTGCGTTCGTGCCGCGATTATGTGCGTCTTCACAGCGTTCGTACGGAGCTCCCACTACGTTGTTGGAGATCTCACCACGCTGCTACGGCGATCATACTACATTTCTACTGCGTTCTTATCAGACATGCACATTTATTTCCCAACTTTACTTTTACTATTGAAAATGTTTCTTGAAAAGCTGGTCGGCCCCAAGCTTTTACTACGGTAAAGTGATGTAAGGGAAATGTACTACTGTATACAAAAAACTGGCACTGAAAGAAGTCGGAACCTAAAAAAAAGTTGGCCTCTGTCCCCCCCCCCCCCCCATCTCCCACCCCCACCCCCACAAAATAGGAATTTGGAGTTTTGGCAATGTTTTTTTTTTTTTGGCTAGTCAGCTTTTCCATGGTTTGTAAAATAAAGTCTCTCGCTACCCCCCCCCCCCCCCAAATTTTCAAAAACGATGCAACGTGCCTGTTATATAATACTTCTAAATCTCTTTGTATCCCCCCCTCCAGATCCGCGCCCCTCTAGATCCGCGCATGGGATTAATGAGAACAAACTTTATTAAACGTTTATTTTTTGTTATATCAAAGGGAACAGTATGTCTGAAATGTGTTACAGCCCTCTTCCCCAGACACAATCAAAGTACTCAGAAGTACAGAGAGCCGGGCTCATTTACAAAGTAGATTGGATTTCTTACATGAATCACGTTTATATTCTGATGAAAAAATTATTTTAAAACTATCAATATAAATGATAAGACACTGACAGTGAGTTTTTCAATCCTAATACCACGGTCCGATTTTGTCAGAATCAGAATTAATCTGGTACCGCAGCTGAATGTAAACAAACAGGCCAGTCTGGTTCCCTCTCCTGCTTTACCTCGTATGTGTAGAGAACTACGGTAACACTGATTATCAAAAATCCTTACGCTAAATAACTATGTTCTTTGACTTGTGAAGTTTTCAAAGTCATTACTACTAATGTTTATTTTATATAGATAAAACTTCGTTTTATTTTTGTTGCTTTATTTAGCGTTTGTATTATCTCAAAAGCGGTTGAGAGTAAGAACTATATTTTTGCACGTAGCTTTAAAATGGCGACTATGGGGTCAACATCCTGCCTTGAACAGGATCACATAAGCCGGCAATTGCTCTTTGAGCAATAAGCCCGGCTAAAAACAGTAGATGAAAAGTGGGACTGATCAGGCAATACCGGTTTATTATACCTCATTATAAATATTCTAAACAACGCGTTATCTGATTGGTTCTTAGTTATCACGTGATCGGGCCGTAAAACTTCATATTTCCCGGCCGTCGGCATGCTTTTCATCATATTCCACCTCTTCGGATACTTAGTGCTTTTTCCCGCAAAAATTATCATTCGTTTAAAGAAAACTCCCCAGAGTATAGTAGAGGTCACAATAACCTGGTTTACGTCACAAAATTGATGATAATGTGTTGACCAAAGAGTTTTAGAAATTTTTTGTTAAAAATGAAAGTGAATTTGAGAGCGGTGCCGAATTTGAAAGTTTGTGTTTATTTCAAAGGTTTTGCTTGTTTCGGTGTAATAAACAATTCATTGCATGAATGTTCGGGAAACATGAAGACTTATTGAGCCAAGAAATATCATATTCCCCTCGGGCGAAGCTCTTGGGGAATATGATTTTTCTTGGCTGAATAAGTCTTCATATTTCCCTCACTATCATACAATAAATGTATAATATCTGTAAGGGCCGCCGCGCTAAGTATTTTTTGCTTTGTAGTATGACCCCCCCCCCTGTTTTTTTACAATAATTGTTTCAACGAACCCCTCTCATCCAAATTGCCCCCCCCCCCCCAAAGTTTTTGTTTGAATTTTCTTGTATACTTATGTGTCGCTCCCAACTCCGTTGTCTATTGACGTTTCAGGATCCCTGACAGATAATTAATGACAGTCGTTTTTAGTTTATGTAGCAATCTTTATTTAATAAAAATAATACCAGGTGAAGTATAGGCCTTTTTCGTTAATTCATCGTGGAATATAAACATGTCTTAAAATATAGACTGGTGCATTCAAAAGTGATCTAGAGGCGCAATAAGCAACAAGCAACATATATAGAGCATGAAATTAAATATTGATCAACATTTTCAGAGTATCGTTTTTTATATTAACCATCTGACTGTGGAAAGGATATATTTTAAAATTTATCCGTAAGTTAGTGCCGTATATACATGTGCGTTTATATGAGAATGCAACAATATATGGACTCAAATTATTGATTAATTTGAAAAGATTTTGCAAAGGGTTATCATATTAGTGTTTTGAATAAAAAAATGAATTATGAGAAAATCAAACGGGATCTATTGTGACGTCATCTTTGCGTTATTACGTAATTATTGACATCTGCTGACGGCATAGAGCCATGAACTCTCTCAGTTTCTAAAACATAAAATACAAACCCGTTTTCTTCTTGTGTGCTAACACGATTAATCAATTGAACTTTTTTTTAATTTAGCGTTTTCATTGGTTCTTTATCCTTATTGGAAATATTTGTCAGATGCAGGTAAGGCCTACACATCGCAGGGCCCATCGTCATCTGCCTTATTATCCTTTCGTATTTTCCAGTTTGTATGCTATTTTTCTTTACAGATAAACTTACATGAAAAATAAATATATTGCCGATGCATGGAATATTTATTTATTAACATTTTTTATGAACTATGGTCATATAATTTCACATAAAATAATTACACCTCTCAATGAACTTTCAATCTGCCACCGGAAATAGTCATGTAAAGTCAAAATAAACATACTGCACATTCCTCGAGCAAAATCTTATACCTGTTATCACCCGTCTTTCATCAAAACGTTTAGAATTATACGCGTTTTATTTTGCTCGAGGGATGTTCACTACTTCAATTTTAGAAATATCTGTTGAAAACAATGGAAAAACTAGCAATTTCCGGAAAAAACGGATCTTTAAACGTGTTTGGTGTAAACGTCTAAATAACGAAGTGTGGAAATTTTGCTTCGCATATTTTAAAACTACCATTCTTCTAACACATGCACATAGTTTTTATATTTTGGCAAACCTGTATATTAAATTACGAAAAATCGTGGGCCTCCGTATAATAGATAACGTACTTAATTCTTTCATAGTTCCGGAAATACAATGTACATATATTTAGTTAAAAAGTGCGTTAAATATAACTGTTTAATGCCAATTGTGTTAAAAGTGTCAACGAATAGATTTCATTTATTTTTTTCATTCGAATATGTCACCATGCATATTTAATAAATTATACATAATGAATTGCAAAAAAAAATTATAATAAAGATTTTGAAAGCAATCAAATATATATAACAATGACATAACGCTCAAAGGAGGATTGCACTTAATGTTTCATTATTTTCCAAACCCAAATGTTTGTTTTAGTCGGGAACGTTTGTCAAGCTTGCAGCTACACCCGACTCTGATACGCTGAGTGTAAGTTTCCCAAGAATCCGTCAGCACTTTCCTCTGGCCAAACGAAGTGTCCTGGATGACCATGACGCAGCCGTTTGGAGCACGGCGAAGAAAGGTCAAATGTAAAAGGTTTTCCTGACAAGCTCCATGCGCTGAAATAGGAAATACTGAATTTTTAATTCTGAAAGATAAAAATACATGTATCCATTTTATAAACATTTACTTTATTCCAATTGATAATGTTCATTATTAGCTCTTCTGAGCCAAAGGCACCTTATGCTTAACTGTCAACTATGAAATAAAGATTGTCAAATGATGAGTCGTTCATTAAAATAAAATATTAAAATGTTTTGAAGATGACATTACTGAGAACATGATTTTAGAAAAATAAAATTTTTCCGTGAATTTTGAAAATTGAGAAACATTTTCTCAAAGCAGGGGATTGTCCACGTATTGTACGGCCTCTTTCTTTGCACAGGGAATTGCCCTGGAGCAGAGGGCGTGGTCTCAAGGTCTCTTTAAAGTTGACCAAAAATTTTACTTTATAAAAACGTTCATATTTTGCTTACTATAGAGACTAGGATCATCAAATCTTGTAAGTTGATGCATCTTAGGAGTTCGCATCATGTTAAACTAAATTTTGCGGGCATTTCTTTCCAAATGGCTTTGGAGGCTTATTTTGGACACTTTAAGGCCTATGATCATCAAACTTTGTCAGTTGATGCATCTTGGGTCCTCGATCAACGTCAACTTAAAAGTAGGTCACGGTGTCCTACCTTTTTAATTTTTGGCTAAACTTTTTTTATAACATTTAATCCTATTATTTCAGACACTGAGAGATTTAGAATCATCAAATCTTGTAAGTTGATGCATCTTGGGGCCTTAAGAACCCTCTCTACACTGCACACTAAAGAGTTCTGATTCTATGTTATTTTTTGCAGTTAGAGTGATCTGCTCTTAAATCTAAATTCCAAAGAATAGAAATTCACAATATATTACACAATTTGAAATTAATTCAAATATAATAACATTTTAAAAGCCAACATTACCTTTACTATAGAAGATGCTTACTGAAGGGAAGGTTGGCCCCCCCACATTTTCGCAAAGGGTAGTGTTATAAAGAAAATGTACCCCAAAAGTTTCAATTGAAAGATGGATGGTCTTGAAAAAAGGTAGCCATATAACCCCCCCCCCCCCCCCCCCCAAACGAAATAGGATTTTTCGACTTTGGGAACCTTTTAATTTTTGTTTTTTTTTTTTTTTTGCTTGTCAACTTTTTCAGGTAAGTAAAAAAATTTTTTGCTCAGGTTGGCCCCCCCACTTCCAAAAACGATGCTACGCGCCTGGAAATTCACAATATATTACACAATTTGAAATTAATTCAAATATAATAACATTTTAAAAGCCAAGATAAATTAATTGAACATGTAATTTACATGTACTTTTAGTGTGGAAGTAAACAATAGTGATTTCTATTCACTGATACTGTGTTGTGTTTGATTATTTTTCCTGGGGCGTAAATGCCACGTGAAAATTAATTAAAGAAGCTTAATATTAACACCTTTATATAATTCATTTTTTCTCAAAGTCCAAAAAATACATTTTGCGCTGGTGTAGAGAGGGATCTTAAAACATATTTATGAAAAAGTAGGTCACTGTGAGCTACTTTTTAAATTTTGCAGGCATTTGTTTTCAAATTGTTTAAAAGGTATATTTTGAATACCGTCAGACCTATGATCATCAAACTCTGTCAGTTGATGCATCTTGGGTCTTCGGAAAACGTCGACCAAAAAAGTAGGTCACGGTGAACTTCTTTTGACATTTTATGGCTAGATTTAAGTATCTCAAGTACTTATTGGCTTAGAATTATCAAACTTTGTTACTTGATGCATCTTGGATTTTTGGAGAACCTCGATCAAAAAGTAGGTCACGGTGACCTACTTTTAACATTTTATGGCTATATTTCAGTATCTCTCAGGTACTTATTGGCTTAGAATCATCAAACTTTGTCAGTTGATGCATCTTGGATTTTCGGAAAACGTCGACAAAGAAGTAGGTCACCGTGACCTACTTTTGACATTTTATGGCTATATTTACGTATCTCGGGTACTTATTGGCATAGAATTGTTAATCTTAGTCAGTTGAGACATCTTGGGTTTTCGCGGAATGTCGACGAAAAAGTAGGTCACGGTGACCTACTTTAGAAAATCTCAGGTACTCATTAACTTACAATCATCAACCTTTGTCAGTTGATGTACTTAGGTTTCTCAGAGAATGTCGTCCGAAGAGTAGGTCACGGTAACCTACGTGTAACATTTTATATCAATATTTATGTATCTGGAGTACTTATTGGCTTAGAATCGTGAAACATTGTCACTTGATGAATCTTGGGTTTTCGGGGAATGTTGACCAAAAAGTACGTCATGGTGACCGACTTTTAAATATCTCTGGTACTTTTGGCTTAGAATCATCAATTTTAGCAAATTAATGCATCTTGAGCCCTCAGAAAATTTCAATCAAAAGTAGGTCACCGTGCCCTAGGCCTACTTGTGGTATTTTATAGTATATTGAAATATCTTCAGTTCTAACTGGCTAAGAATCATCAAACTTTGTCAGTTGATGCATCTTGGGATACCTAGAGGCTTTAAATAGAAGTGATATCAGAAGGGCGATTCAAGGCTCTTGGGCCTCTTGTAATTTGTGTATAATGGATTCTAACATAAAATTAACTGGAAAAATATAATTTTAAAACGCTAGGCCCTAGGGTTTAAACTTTTGCACAAATTTAATATATCTACTTATCTAGTTGTGTTTAGTTTCCTGTGATGCAAGACTTACGGATTGCTAATATAAGGAGTCAGATTTAAGAATTAGTATTATCCCTAACTTGTCAGTTCAAAACTAAGTTTGCAACAACTTTACCCCAACTATGACATTATATTCAGCTATGGATGGTTTGTAATAATATTTCTTCCCTCTTTATGTTTCACCACTCCAGTACAGTGCATATTAATGTGTACTACGTATATGTCATCTTATTTACTAGAAAATTAATATTTTTGTTGTCTTTGCAAAGGAATATCTCAAAAGTGTAATTAGGACAAGAAAAACAAATATAAATTACACGATGTTGATTTTGTGATATACATATACTATAGCATTTCAAAAATTACTCTTGCAATGAATTCTTAATAGAACATGCATGAGAAAAAATGATCAAAGACTGACGATTTTGATTAACAGTTAGGCATGGCTCCACGTTGCACACAATCTCGTTAATATAGCGTGGAAACTTGTCCTTTCCCAAATCTGTTGTAGTCATACATGAAGTACAGAAATTAATAAATCCAGCATCTGTTTTGTTTCCTCTGTACTGACAGTAGGATGTTCTGATATCTAAAAAAAAATATGGAACAAAATATATCTAAAAACCTGTCAATTCAAAGGACGAAGACCCGTAAATACAATGGCCAGGGGACCTTTTTTTCAACGATGAATCGACATTTATTCTAGTTACTTTCAAACAAGAATGAATCACAGTGATATTTTTTGAATAGTATCTTTAGTTTGCACACAGGATTGCTTACACGATCAGTGTGTAGATACATGTACAAGTTAAAGTTCATTGGCCTTGTCGTGATATATATTTTGTTCGTTAAAGGAGCTTTTTTTTTGTCCCCCGCTTGAAAAGTGGGGGGTATTAATTTGAGTCTGTCCGTCCGTCCGTCTTTCTGTCTGTCCGTAACGCTTTCGTTTCCACATGATATCTCGAGAACCCTTTGAGCTTTCGCAATGAAATTTTGCATATCAACTCCCTATGGACTAAAGAAGACCCCTTTTGATTTTGAGGTGAAAAGGTCAAAGGTCAAGGTCATAAATAAGCAAATTCTGTCTGTTATAACACTTTCGTTTCCGAGCGATATCTCAAGAACCCTTTGAGCTTTTGCAATGAAATTTTACATAACAACTCCATGTGGCCTAAGGAAGACCCCTATTTTTTTTAGGTCAAAAGATCAAAGTTCAAGGTCGTAAATTTATACATTATGTCTGTGTGTAACACTATCCTTTCCGGGCGATATTTCAAGAGGATTTTGAGCTTTTGCACTGTAATTTTATACCAAAACTTCCTAGGACCTCTCTCACCCCTCTCAAAGTGTCCCGCCCCGTTTGTTTTATTAGTATTTATTGTGTTACATGTCGTAATTTTTATCACAGGGCATGAGGAGAGTTATTACGTATAAAACAGGGACTTTATATTCTTATTACATTAGAGTTGTTTGATAAAGGTTAAATTAGAAACCATGCATTGTGTAAAATTTTGACAATATCGAACGTGAATATATTAATACATGTATGTGACTTCATCTTTGCATATAATTTTCGTCAGCGTAAAGCAGTTCCGTGGTCTAGAGGTATGTCTCTCGCTTCACATGTGAAAGGTCCCGGGGTTCGAATCCCGGACGATCCATATTTTTTTTTCGAAATACTTTTTTTTTACTAAATGATAGTATTCAGCATGTGAAATGAAAAATTTATGAGGTCTGGCTTGTACAAACTCATAAAATCATCATTACAGTGTGATAAATATGCCATATAAAAAGAATCTTCTATACACATAATAAAGAATAAGCAATCAAATCTTTATGTGCATATTGACATAAATGTATTTTATTTGCTTCAGTATACATGTATACATTTAATAATTCTACAAATTCAGTCGGGGGATCCGACTTTTTCCCTAAGCGGGGGACACGAATTCTCTGAATTAGCTTGTTTATTTTTAGGTCACATGAGTAAAACTGTCGTGTGCTAACATTTGAACATTTTCAACTTCTTCTCTGCAACCGCTCAACCAGTATCAACTAGTTTTGGTGTAAAGCATGTATGGGTGACAAGGAACAAAAATTGTTAATTTCAAGGTCCCTGCCCCCCCCCCCTCCCCCTTGGGCCTGGGGATGGGGCCAAAACCACTAAATTTAATGGAATCTGTAAAAATCTTCTTTACTCCTGGACATCAAGCAATCAGACTGTTTGCATAATTGTAATCAGCATTGAGTCCTCTACCAAAATTTGGAAATTCATGGCCCCAGGGTCAGGGTTTCTAGTGCTAGGGCGGGGCTATATAGATTAATATATAGTGAAAATGCATCATTTCTTTGAAAATTTTCTTTTCTGTTCCTGGGTATTAATAAACTAACCAAGTATATAGTTATGTTGAATAAGCTGCTTCTTCCAAAATTGTGAATTTCATGGCCCCAGGGTCAGGGGTTCTAGTGCTAGGACGGGGTTTTATAGAATATATATTAAAAATGCATTATTTCTTTGATAATCTTCTCTGCTCTGGGATATCAAATAATCTAACCAAGTACATAGTTATGAAGAAGAAGGATGCCTCTTCCAAAATTTGAATTTCATGGCCCCTGGGTCAGGGGTTCTGGTGTTAGGGCGGGGGTCTAATTAATTACATAGTGAAAATACATTAATCTTTAAAAATCTTCTCCTCTGCTCCTGGGTATTAAATAAACTAAGTTAGTAAAATTAATAGTGATAAATAGTTAAATAGTTATAATGAGCAAAAGTGCCTCTTCCAAAATTGTGAATTTATGGCCCCAGGGTCAGGGGTTATGGTGTTAGGGCAGGGCTATATTGATTATATCATAGTAAAAATACATTAGTTTTTTGAAAATCTTCTTCTTTGCTCCTGGGTATTTAATAAACTGACCAATATACGTATAGTCATATTGAATAAGGGTACCTCTTCCATTATTGTAAATTTCATGACCCCAGGGTCAGGGGTTAGGATGGGGCTCTGTTGATTTTATAGTGAAAATGCATAAATACTTTTAAAAATCTTCTTCTCTGCTCCCAGGTATTAAGCCAATGAACTATGTACATAGTTATTATGAGGAAGGATGCCTCTTCCAAAGTTTTGAATTTCATTGCCCCTGAGTCAGGGATTCTGATGTTGGGGGGCGCAAATGATAATATGTTGAAAATGCATTCTTTGAAGATTCTTCCTTTGCTCCTGGGTATTATGCCATTGATCTAAGTCAATATATTTATGATGAAGAAAGGTGCATCTGACGGGGGGAGGGTACATAATCTGAAAATAAATTATTGCTTTGAAAACTGCTCTTTGGTATTAATCAACCATTTATAATTGATTAAAGTGTATGATAAAATTTCCAAAATTTTGTAATATGTAGCCCCAGGGTCAGTGGTTCCTGTGGAGTTGGGTGCACAACTGGTTATAAAGTGGAAATGCATTTTCTGTTTGTTACTCTGATCAACCTCTGGGTATTAAGTAACCAGAATAAGTGAAGAATTATTAAAAGTAATGGTGTCTTTTTTCAAAATTGTGAATTTCATGGCCTCTGGTTTAAAACACGAACCAAATTCTATTGTTGGAAAGTTGTTACATGATACCCAGGTGACCCAGGGTCTCGTTGAATTTTCAAATTATTTTTGCATACTAGACAATTTTTGAGAATGTTCTGTTTTGTTGGTTTCATGCTTTCCTTGAGCCCAGTAAATCAAAATTAATGTGTCATTTTGTGTCTAAATATATTAAATCAAAAGAATTTAATGCTTTAAACCAACAGAAATATGGAAAAAGAAGGAAGGGGGGGGGGGGAGATTTTTTACAATGCCAAAAAAAGGTACTGTAACACATTCTAGCCGTAGAGCGAACTCAATAAAATCCGAATTGGCGTTAATCTGTAATCTTTCCCCGGGGAGATGTGCGTGAATTTTAGCAGTTTTGAGGGAGGGCTTTTAAGTTTTATTGGGTTTAAAGTAAACCTAGAATACTAATTATTTAGAAGCCTTTGCAACCGCCCCCTTTTGAATGGGTGGGGGAGGGTTAGTTTTCCATCTTAATCAAATGCGGTTAAAAGAGTAAAATAAAAGTAAAAAAGAACATCAAATAATTATAGTAAACTGATTGTTAAGTAATGATAAGATGCCTTTCAAATTTTTAAGAGGCAGTCCACCGAAAAACCAGGCAATCGGTGGCACATCGCATGTCATGGATTTTAATTATTGTTTGCATGTAGACTTAGTATAGCAAGTGTTTACATATGACAACATCAAAAAAATTTTTAGTGGTCCTCTAGTCCTATTTTGGTAAATGCCTAATTTTAAGTGCAAAAAGGTCAACATGAGGGTAAAAAAATTACTACGTTTTTATTTTGTTTAATATGTAACAGATACTCAAAAGCTTTGAGCTTTTATTAATATATTATTTATTATTTATAGCATAGACTCTTACCTTTTATTTATTTAATGAATAAGACTCTAATTTATATTTCTTAAGAAAAAATCATATGGTTCAAATTTGAGTTTAGCAAGCAACTTTTTGAATTCAGTATCCAATTTTCATTACGTTATAAAACCCATACATTACAAGGACATATTTTTCCCCTGTGTTATTATGAATACTAAGTACAAACTTTTGAGTCACTAAATAAAATCAGTGGGAACGGGTATATTGAAAGAAATAAGAGGAGTCAAATTTATCTATGTTTTTTTTTTTTTTTAATAATTTTCCCAAATGAAACCGATACCGACCGGAATTATATAAAGAAGAAATACTATCATTGTAACGTTAAAATTTGGTTATTTTGTTGTAATGTGATTAAAGGATTGCCTGATATATTTGTTTACATGTTATATAGGTGGCAGGTGCCTTTATTTTGATAAATGCATTAATTTTGTATTATTTTCGATCGAGATCGGTTTTATTTCAATCGGGATCGGATTTTACCGTAAATTTAGAAATATTTCCTAAATTTGGCTCTTTATTTTAATTTATCAGAAAAATATGCTTGTCTTTTATTTCTTTTCAGTCAGTTTACTGTTTTTAAATGAGTGTAACCATAAAATCAAATGTATATATTATTTTAATTACTAATGTCCTTTACGTACATGAAGATTACATGTAAAACATCAGTTTGATTTCTTGACACTCGGTATTTCAGAAAAAGTATTTGTTCATGCATTATGCAACAACTGAGAACAGACAACTTTATAGCTTCGTTATTTATCTTATTTCCAAGTAAAATTTCTTCATTTATTTTTTTTCTCAGGAATTAAAGAGTTAAATTCTATCAGTGGCGAAATTAAACTTGCCTAAATACAGAAAATATTTTTATGTGTGCAGTCTCGACTTTATCCAAGTTTTTTTTTACCTGTCATCTGTAAAGCCTTTTCCCCCTTTACTTTCCTCTTTTACAAAATTTGATTTTATATAAATAAGATAAGAAAATAAGTTGTTTCATATATAGTATCATTATTGAAGAGCCGATAAATCGCAAGCAAAAAGCAGAAGGGGGAGGGGGATCATGACATCATTATTTTTAAAAATTGAACTTTAAAAAAAAAATTTGGAATTTGCCAGCTTAAGTCCCTCCATATTAAATGTGAGTGTGTGATTTTTTAAATCGCCAAATTAAAAAAAAAAACCAAATGTTTCACTAAACCATCTTCCGTTTTAGTGCCAATTTATAGTGGGGAATTCAGTAGTAATCCAACTGAGTAGATATATTTTTTGACTTATTTTTCAAGGTTTTTTTTTTCATTTTTAATCGTACCGCGGATTGTTTATTTTGATTATTTAGCTCCGAGACAAGTACAAAAGTACTTATCAAAACGGACTTGTTTAGATACATCTAGCTGAGACACTGCCCGTGTATAAAATAATGCACTCTGAAGAGTAATTAAACAGATAAAGAGATATCTTTTTTTTTAAATCTTTTTCTTTAATTTTACGCAAAGAAATTCACAAACTTCTCTGGAAAACTTGTAACTATTTCATTGAAACGCAATATAAGTCAGGTATATGACGTCACTGATACATGAATGGAAACGTGGATTCAACCTGAATAACATAGTCAACTTTCATCTAAATATTACGTTTGGAGGCGAAAATGAACTATATTTTGAAAATGAATTAGTTATTTTTGTTTAATAATTTTCTTTAGTGTATATTTCACTAAGATTCCAATAAAAAGGTGTTTAGCAGATTTACCTATGTCGCGGGAGATGACTGTTGCATCGCAAACTTTCACAAAAACGTCTATATATTTTGTCGAAAACTACTATCAAAAGTGTTTTTCCCACCGATTTTGTTTTTTAAACAAAAAGATGAAATATTTCTAGATTTAGTTAAGTGTAAATTATAGTCCTGCTAAAAATGTATTATACAATTATAGCCTTTTGATGAGGTCAATCCCTCGATATATAGACCTTAGAGAAAGCATATCGACCGAGCACTTCGTGCTCGGTCGATATGCTTTCTCTAAGGTCTATACAGGGATTGTACCGAATCAAAAGGCTACAATTGTTTTATCATTTTTTATCAGATAATAAGAAATGTCTTAAAATCCTTCTTTATTATACTGAGTATCTTCTTATACAAGGCATTGTTATGTCATTGCATTATGACGTCACAGTAATGAAAACCAGCTGCAGTATCTGTTTTTAGAAACATCCAGTCTATAAAGAGTATTGTGACGTCAGCACTATTGTTGCTTCACAGAGAACGTTTCCAATTTTAGAAACAGCAGGTTTATAAATTTTTAAAATAGAAACATCCAGTCTATAACACTTTTTATACTTGATCATGTGATCCAGTTTGAGCCAATCAGATAGTTGGAACAATACAGAAAAATAATAATAGAAATTACAGTTCTTTGTTTCTGACCTACATTCAATGGTTTATATAGGGGAATTCAAAAACACAAAACACAAGGATATTTTACTAAATAAGCAATGTTCAAATAAATCTTCAATTGCATTATTCCTTTTGGACTACATTGATATTGTTTTTAATAAAATATCAAAAATCCTTCACATTCGATGTGCCGCCTATTAATACAATACTGCCTGGTTTTTCAGTGGACTGCCTCTTAAATATTTTCATATTAGAATATTTTTTCCTAGTACGTATAAATTAACATCGGGTACGATGAACTTTTGTCTCAAATACTCTTTATAAAATGAAGGCTAACAAATCTCCAGAATCTGATGATTTTTCATGATTTTTCTGATGAGTTTAAAAAAAAAATGATTTGGAAATATATTGGGCCTTTTGTTTAAAACGTACGAGTCCATCCATGTAAGTAAAGAATATTTTAAATCGATGGCTGACTTTTCAACGTGTTCGAACACAGTGTCCTAGTTATCACAAAACATGCTATCAATAAGTCACGTGACGGAATTTAGTATTCACAAAAACCTGAGGAAAGATATCACGTGGTGAATTATAATATTCAACGTGTCACAGCCCTTGGTTACAACAGAGAGAGCGAGTGTAAGAAGAAGCAGTTTTTTTCTCCTTTTAACCATGAGCGCATGTTTGTCTATTTATCTACTTTTTAACACAACATTACTGAAGCAAATATACAACAACTGTTAAAAGGAGAACAATAGACAAACATGCGCTGATTATGTATAAAGTCAGTAAGAAAGTGGGCCTCCTCATTGTTGTACTGAGATTGAAGAAACGGTGTTGACCCCAACCTCAGAAAACAGATTCGTACATTGTAAATACATACTTTTATTTATTGTAATTACATGTAAGTAAAGTTGTAGATAAGATGTTGATCATTTCTGCAATTGAAAAAAAAAATGTCTGTTTTTAAAGTTTATTTTGACGCAAATTTCGCATATCCTTAAGTGCAGTCATCCTTTAAATTGTAATGCTTGAAAAAAGGGCTTTCTTTTACTTGCTTTCCGAAAGACAATTGTATATGATCACAGATTAAATGCGAATCTACAATCTACAAACGTTTGATAATGGTTTATTGTAACATTGTATAGTTTTAAGTCGATTAATGGACAAATGACTACACGTGTTCCCAAGTATCAGTGAAAACAAATTCATGTGCATTATGTGGTCCAAAACGATAGACGCTAGGGTTCCATGCATTAAAATGCTTTTGTTGACCATTTAAAGTTTGAAATGAAATGTGGTAGAAATGATGTGTAAATTTGACCTTTACCACGTGTCTGTGATAAAATATAAACATGTAGTAAACCAGTATGTTTTGTTATTCAGTCATCAGATTGGACAATAGTTCTCTGTAAGCGACTATGTGCAAAATAATAACTATAGCCATGTAAGGAAGAATCCTCGGACATGTATCCCTCTAATCTATTGTACTAAGACCCACCTATTCTATTCATCTTTACACATTAAAAGAACATAAGATCGCAAACAAGGTCGAAATTTGCTATCATAGTGTCTTTAAATTCAAGGATAATGAAAACTTGTAAACTCGACACTATTCATAGAGTGTCATTTTCCTTCACTCTTGTTTGAAAATAACCAAAATTATTGTAGATTTAACCTAATTCATCGTAGAAAAAGGGGCCCTCAGATCATAGTTTTGTCATTTTACTTAACGTAAGATTTCATGTGCTGAAAAATACCATTAACTTGTTATATCCTAACTTTACGAGACTGATAATATTCTTGTTTCATCACCTTGACGAGAATGCTCTTACGTATCGAATCAACTATGAGACAGAAACTCCGTATTGGTATATTGCTATATAAATAAGGGAAGTTGACGATTGAAAAGTTGAAATCATCAAGTTTTCTTGTTAGGTATCATTAAATTCTTTTCTAGCAAAATATCCAAATAATAAACAGATGTTTCAGGCTCTGTAATATCACTTATTTTATCGAATCTACTAATAAATAGGAAGTAGCTTGTGTATTGTAAATTGATTATACCACGTTAGTACTTCTTAACGTCGAGTTGAATTCCATAGTAAAATAATAAAAAGGAGATTTACGATATAATGGTAAAATCTTTGCTCAGTTGATCCACGAGGTCTAAATTTGAGGCCTTCACCGACAAGTGGTGGCCTCTGTATATGAGGGGAAAAAAACTTAAAGGTAAGTTAAACAGACCAAATAAACAAACAAAGAAAAACAACCAGTCACGAGGTGAATTCTCTCTACGTGGATCTGAGCATTACATTGCTACAAAACCCTAGCATTTTACAGTTATTCCATTACCTCTTGACTTTAGAGTTTGACTAACAATTGCAAAAAATTACCAAACCTTATGCCTGGATATAACTTTTGAACAGTTGGTGCTAGGGCTTACATTTTTTACTTGTGTATTCTAATGATATGACCCTGTCTCTTGTGTACCAACATCTATTCACAAAAGTTCTTACGATTAATCGTAGTCGTATAGTCGTAAGTTTGTCGTAAGACTTTTTTGCAAGATTTTGGTAATTCACAAAAAATCGTACATTTGCCGTTACGTCAAAAAAAACAGTCGTAAGTTTACGTCTAGTGTCTAGAAATTGCTACACATGGTTACAACTCTAAAAAATAAAATGACTACTCGTTATCTATACCATTAAAAAATTAATACCAATAAATGACCTTAAGGATAAATGGCACAAACTTTTATCAGAAATCTGCAATATTTCTCATAGATTTACATTTAATTGGTAACCTAAATTATGTTTACCAAGTATAATGGGAGAATATTATAAGGTTTTGTCATAAGGTTTAAAATTTGTGCAAAATTTTGTATGGAATTATATAGAAAGCAAAACAAAGTGTCATATCTAAGCATCAAGGAAAACATACAATTTCTTTATATTTCGGGGAATTATTATTTACATGTATGTAATTTCAAATCAAAATCAGGTCAAAAAATATACCGGGTATATCAATCCATGCTTCAATTTGTTGTTTGTGTTAAGTACCCTTAAGCTCGATGTGTGAATTAATTTTTAAAACTTTCTTTATCTTTTGACCTTGAACTAGAATTTCTACTTGCATTTGAGAATCTTTGACCTTCGCCATAAGCTGCCATAGAAGCATTAGTATTTCACAAAACATTTTAGTTTTCATGACTTTGTTATTTTGAAAAAATGAGTTTCAAATCCCTATCATTCAATATTTCTTATTGTTTAACACCAGTAAAAATGCCTTCTGTTAATTGTCTCACCTGCGGTCTGTCGTTTCCCTCTGTGAGCAGGCTTCCTGATGTAGCTGAGGATTTGGGGATGATGAACAATATCATGATCGTTTATGAATTTAATTATGTATTTGGGATCAATTCTATTTTTTATAATGTAATCTCCTAATTCTAAGCCAAAGTAGTTTATTGCACTCTGTAAATGGGAGTTTTCCTCTGGCGTAATCTGATGATTCATTCTAGGAGCGGATCTAAAAAAGGTGTCCCATTTATCCAGATCTTCTATAAGCTTTTGCTTGGAAACTGGTCTATCTACGTCCTTAATATAGGTTTTCTGAAAATTGAACATATATTTTAAAACCTTGAGTAAGTGTAGATAGGCACTGTTTGAAAATTATTTCTTTATTGGATTTTTTAACTCCTACTGTTCTTCACCGAATTCACTCTTGTAATACCTATTGTATAGAAACAAGTTTTTACAATCCGCCCTACCCCCAGAGGTCATGATTTGAACAATTTAGAATCTGGACTGCCTCCAGATGCTTCCAAATAAGTTTTAGCGTTTCTGGCCCAGTGGTTCTTAATTCGAAGATTTTTTTTTCTCTAAATTGCTATGTAAAACTTTAACAGATGCCTTACTGTGGCACTGCCCTACCCTCGGGGGTCATGGTTTAAACAATTTAGAATTTAAAATACCCTTGGATGTTTTGTTACAATGCGAAATGTAAAAACAATGCAAAATGCAATAAAATGCGTTTATTACATTATGCATTATTACATTTAACGCTGATCTCGATGCAAAATGTAATAACGCATAATGTAATAACCCCAATATTGGAATATATATAAGAAGATTATTTTCGTAATTTTCATCGGCTGAAAGTACGTCACGTGAGATTCCTCCTTTTGTGATGTCGACGCGAAAGAGCGTCAATATTGCCATGAGTCCTCGCAGGCTCGGTCCCTATCACTTTCTGTGTTTTCGGTCAATATCAATTGCCATGAGTCCTTATAATCATATATCGACCTACACTGAAGTCCATAATTGTATAATAGTAGTCAGGATTACTATTTAGCCATAGTGCATGCAAAACACAACACTATTGTTATTATTATGCTGACTGTTGCATAAATAGTGAATATTACATACTAAAATCCATATCATATGTCATATCAGACAATATATCACACAACAAATACGCAAGTTCACATATGGTCATTGATGAATATTTCGTGCTTGTTTGTGACATTTTTCTTTTAAATCTAATAAAGCCAATTTTAGGTAACTGAAAAAAATTAAGACCATAAATGTCATTCAAAAATGATTTATTATGAATATAAAAATAAAATCAAGTAAATTGACTTTTAAACATTATACAAACGTTTCTTCCGGTTTGATATGGATTTTCGGACCGCCGGTCCGATACGTGATATGGTTTTTCGGACCGGTCCGTGATATGGGGTATTGTGACGTCACCCGTATCATACCGTGCAGAATCGGTGTATTTACAACTAAGTATATGATAAAAACGACAATATATCACACTGCTGTTTTGATCTCGGTCCTGGTATCAGCCCGAGCGGTTGGTGTCGGCCCAAGCCCGAAGGGCGCGGGCCGAGACCATCCGAGGGCTGATACCAGGGACGAGATCAAAACAGTGGTGTGATGTTGTTTATATCATATATCTAAAACCAAAGAAAAGAACAAATATTCTGATTTCAAATATTTTTCAATCAAAAAAAATTATATAATTTTGTCATAAGAAAAATAGAGTTATCTTTCTTTATTTTGATGTTCCTGAAGATGTTGCTTGACGGTGAAAATAATCATATAGAGAAAGACTTGCCGAGTCTGGTCATTAAAGGTACCTGGACACAGATTTGAAGTTAATATTTTCTCTATAATATTACGACTTATATATTTTAATAGCATTTCATACAAAAATTAAATAAAAATCTTATTTCATTTAAAAGTTAAACTTCAAATTTTTTGGCGGGTTTGATTGACACATCCTTGCACTTTCACAAATTTTGATTTTATTCTTATTACTTACGAAAAGTGGCAATCTTGTTGTATATAAATGAAAAATATTAATACTCTCATCCAGAAAATTCGGAGTAGACATGTACGAATGCAAAACAAACACACAATATATTGTCAGTCCGTGCAGTTGTGGTACGCAGACTTTGACGATTGAACGCACCCCGTGAATCGTCAACATCAACAATAACAGAGCTCGTGCCCTGTTTACAAAAACTGTGTACATAACACGAGTGTGATCGATTTGCTAAACTCTGTACACAACACTTAGCTCGGAATGACGATACTTGTGAAGGAGTTTTGCTTTCTAACATTTCTACTCTGAATAAAATTATTTTTCTGGATTAAAGTTTTAATATTTCTCATTAATACACAACAAGATTGCCACTTTTCCTAAGGAAGTTTTCCTTTGAAGTTTTAATAACTTTTAAATGAAATAAGATTTTTAATTAATTTTTGTGTGAAATGCTATATTATTCGTGATATTATACAGAAAATATTAACTTCAAATCTGTGTCCAAGTACCTTTAAAAAGAATAGTCCTGGTGTTTTGAAACATTTCATTTCGATGCACATCAGATAACAAAGATTTAAAAAAAGGTCCCAAACTTAAAAATATTCTACTTTCACTTTGGATCGATTCGGGGTTATTCAACTTCTTCTACGAATCGTTACAATTTGTAAGTCTGAGATTTATAATAACTTTTTGTTTTGTTTACGATAAATATTAAAAATGACACGTTAAAATGAAAATTTAGGTTTTGTCTTACTGTCAAAGCAAATAAACGTTCAAAACATGATTTGTTGCTGTCATAGAAGTAAAGAAGGGTTACCTCTTTTACGTCACAAGTTCTATCATTTGGCGCACTTTTTAAAAACAATTTTCTCTAAATTATAGTATAAATAAATAATTTTTAAAGGTTCTGGTTAAAGTTTTCGATATATAATCTTTTTCTTTAATACTTAAATATGAATTTTACTCTTAATCCACACAAATTAAACAGAAATAATGATTTTAAATTTGAGGGCGAGAAAGCCCCTTGACAACGGGCCGAGACAGAGACATCTCAGCCCTGACGGCGAGACAGCCCTGCTTCCCAGGCGCTGTCTCGCCTAGTCCAAAACTACTGTATCAGGGCTGATACACAACTAGATATATGATTTAACGGTATATCATATACCTAGTAGTGTAGCAGCCCTGATACAGACGTTTTGGAGTATGTGAGACAGTGCTTGGAAGTAGGACTGTCTCGCCCTCAGGGATGAGATATCTCTGTTTCGGCCCGTTGTCAAGGGGCTGTCTCGCCCTCAAGTTTCAGTAAAACATCTATTAGAGTAATTTGAGGGCGAGACAGTAATTAAGAGTAAAATTCATATTTATGCATTTAAGAGAAACATTGTATATCTATCATAGAGTAATTTGAGGGCGAGACAGTAATTAAGAGTAAAATTCATATTTATGCATTCAAGAGAAACATTGTATATCGAAAAATTTAAACAAAATCTTTAAAAATTATTTATTTATGCTAGAAATTTGAGAAAATTGTTTTTGAAAAGTGCGCCAAATAATAGCACTTGTGACGTAAGAGAGGTAACTCTTGTTTACTTATAGGACAGCAACAAATCATGTTTTGAAAAAAATGGACGTTTATTTGCTTTGACAGTAAGACAATTCCAAGTTTTCATTTAATGTGCCATTTTTCATTTAATATTTATCGTAAACAAAACAAACAGTTACTATAAATCTGAGACTTACAAGCTGTAACGATTCGTAGAAGAAGTTGTAACCCCGGTTCGATGCAAAGTGAAAGATGAATATCTTTAAGTTTGGGACCTTTTAAATCTTTGTTATCTAATGTGCTTCAAAATGAAATGTTTCATAATACCAGGACTATTCCTTTTTATGATCAGAAGAGGCAAATCTTACTCTATGTATGATTATTCACTGTCAAGCAACATCTTCGGGAACATCGAAATAAAGAAAGATAACGCATTTTATTACGACAAAACTATGTAAACTTTTTTATCGAAAAATATCTAAATATGTTTTTTTCTTTGGTTTTAGATATATGATATAAACAACATCACACCACTGTTTTGATCTCGGTCCTGGTATCAGCCCGAGCGGTTTGTATCGGCCCAAGCCCGGAGGGTGATAATCTATTTTATTATATTTACATTTGCAAATGTTTTCCTTTATATAACACTACTGAAAGCAATATGTATCTATAACTGTATAAATACAGGTACGGGGTCAAGAGGTCATAGATGTGCGTATGGATAAACGTTCGACGTAATTTCTCTGTGACGTCTTAAAGGGTCGACGCGCGTTCAGTGGATTACATACATGCCGTTGGGTTTGATAAATATATATTATTATAACAGTAACTTGATCCGAAGGGTCGTATCACGTCGAGGTGACAGGCGCAGATCATCAGATCTAACGAGACGCGAAGCGTCGAGTTTGATCTGATGATCCGCGCCTGTCAACGAGACGTGATACGGCTCTTCGGATCAAGTTACTGTTATAATAATAAATTTATTATATACCCCCTTATAACAAGCAAAATATAGCAAAATAAATCTTTAGAGATCAATTGTGTAATATTTATCCATAAATCAAAGCAAAATAACAAGGGACTTTTTAACACTCAGGAAAAATAACGTCATGTTTCTACGTACTACGTCATCAGTTTCAGAGAGTGGTGAACAACAGTGTCGTAATCCGGAAAGTCGGATCACGACGTCACGTGATAGCGTAAATTCAACAGTTAAATTGAGTGATACACGTTAGGTATATAATAAATATATGTTATTATAAGAGTAACTTGATCCGAAGGGTTGTATCACGTCGAGTTGACAGGCGCGGATCATCAGATCTAACGAGACGCGAAGCGTCGAGTTTGATCTGATGATCCGCGCCTGTCAACGAGACGTGATACGGCTCTTCGGATCAAGTTACTGTTATAATAATAAATTTATTATATACCCCCTTATAACAAGCAAAATATAGCAAAATAAATCTTTAGAGATCAATTGTGTAATATTTATCCATAAATCAAAGCAAAATAACAAGGGACTTTTTAACACTCAGGAAAAATAACGTCATGTTTCTACGTACTACGTCATCAGTTTCAGAGAGTGGTGAACAACAGTGTCGTAAATTCAACAGTTAAAGTCGGATCACGACGTCACGTGATAGCGTAAATTCAACAGTTAAATTGAGTGATACACGTTAGGTATATAATAAATATATGTTATTATAGAGATCAATTGTAACTAAAACAAAGCAT